ATTGATATGGCATTTGAAAACTGTCTTCCTCTACCTTCTTCATTTTTGTTGCTTCTTTGATTGAAGTTAGGTGGGAAACAATGCTTAAAAAGCACCTATTTTTAGTGTGCCCATGTCTTTTCAGTGTTTGCATTTAAGTACTTTTCTTTGCACATTCGGAATTCTATTGTTCATATTAGGAGGCCATCCATGCTTGTGATAGCAAATTTCTTAAGTTTGAATTTCTCTTATGCAATAAGTACAATATGACCTCTTGGTATTTGATCCAGACCTCATTTTTTGACCTTGTCCACGAAGAGCTAAACTTTCAGTTTATACATTAGCCACAACTTTTCATTTGTTGTATTCCATATAAACTACCTTTCATGCTTCAGCATCCTTTGGAAAACCTTGCTAGGCAACTCATCCCCAAAAGTAGAATGGCAATTACACACCCATGGGTAATTTTGTTCAAACCCAAATAGACCCATTCATTATGGGTAGGTAGGGGTGTACATGAGTCGGATGGTACGGGTTTAACCATTTTAATCACCCGACCCATGCACTACGGTTTGAGAAATATTATACCCAAACCCACCCAAAAAAAAATTAAACCCTACGGTTTGTTTCTAATTGGGTTGGGTCGGGTTGGCGATATTTTTAAGTAAAAAACCCAACCCAACACAAAATATGTAATTATTCTATACCATAAAAATATTTTATAACTAATTAAAATTTCAAACGAATAAACCAAGGCGAATGGTATCAAAATTCACAAATATTGGTTAAATTTTAATAAAATGTGATTTACCTTAACATATGTCTAGTTTTTTTCACGATATTTGTTGAAATGGGCTAAAAAGGTTATAAACGAATGCACCCATAATATTTTATTTTATTAAAATTATAAGCAAGAAATATGATTACGTGAATCGTAGCTATATTAAATTTATGTCTAAACTGTAATCCGAAGAATGCATTAGATTAGGGAGACCATGAGAGAAAAACATGACAAAATATCTTAATTTTCTCAAAAGTATGACTATATACGACATAAATATTTTTTGGATATGCACTCCTACCAATAGTTGGAACACGGGTTGGGTCGGGTTCTACAGGTTATGTAATCCAAAATCCAAACTCAACCCAAAGAGGCGGGTTTTACAAAAGAAAACCCTCACCCAACCCAAAACCTTCATTTTAGCGATAAATACGGGTGGGTTGGTTCGTTTGGAAGGGTGGGTCGGTTTGCAGGTGTTTTTGTTCACCCCTATGGGTAGGGTATGGGTGAAGTGTATATGGGTTTGGGGATTTGTAGATGGGTTTGGGTAGGTTATGGATCTTCCTTCCATAACCTAAATGAGTATAGGTGGGTACGGAAACCCATTTACTTTAGTGTTTTAACTAAATATAAAAAATTGGATCTATTTGTAAGAACTTAAAAAGTTTAGGTATTAAAATATAATGCTAAAAAAATTTAGATACTAAATTGAAATTTTCCATCGATATTTTGAGGACTTTATGCAAAAAAAATATATGTATTAAATCTAAAGATCTATTAAGTGTAGGTACCAAATTATAATTTACCAATGGGTATGGGTACAAACTCAAATCCATGTATTAAAACTCAACCCAAACAAATGGGTATGTGTACAAGAACCGTATGAGCAAAATTATCATCCCTACTCACAAGGCACTTGAGATCTTACAGTTAGGGGTGTTAATCGGTGGCCGGTTCTGTGGTTTAACCGAAAAACCGCACCGAAAAGTCGGTTAATCGAATAACCGAAAACCGATTATATGCGTGCGGTGTCGGCGTCGGTTGTTGTTTTTGAGGAATATGCATAACCGCGGTTATCGGTGAATAACCGCAACCGTGGCGGTTAACCGCAAAACCGTCGTCGCCCTGCAATCTGGAAGAAAGTAAAGAGAGCGAAAGAGGGAGTTGGCGGACGGATCGACACTGGGGAGAATTAAGTTGGATCGAGATGGAAGAGAAGGAAAAACAGAGAGGCAGATCGAAAAGTTTCAGAGAAGATGAGATTGGCGGATAGTGTAAGAGGGTTTGTTCATATTTTTTCTTGGGAGGAAGAACTGAAGAGAGACGAGGAAGAAGGTAAGGTTGAAGAAGGGTGAGAGGCCGGCTGCGGCGCTTAGGGTTTAAAGAGAGACTATATACCCCATTACCCCTAGCCCGAAAAATGACTAAATTGCCCCTTTCTTTTTGTTAAAATAACCCATTGGCCGCTACCACTTTCGTTCGTCTCTTCCCCCAAACAAGTCAGGTTTTCCCCAAAACGATTTCCCCCGCCGCTTCCCTCCCGAGTTCTGAACCCTTACACTCCCCGTCGCCCCGCCGCCAGCCGTCATCATCACCCGGCCTGGCGTCCCACCGCCGCCTTCGTCCTCCTGCTCCCAGCCCCAGTAATCATCGATCGTCGCCCCTTCGTCGGCCGTCGCCATCGTCGCACCACGCCACCACCTGCCTTCGTCCTCCCTCGCCCTGCGATCTTGTCGGTTTTAGCTAACCGCGACACCGACCCGAAACCGTCGATTGCGGTTTTCGGCTAACCGACAAGGCAATCGGTGTCGGTGGCGGTTGTAGTTTCCGATGATTCTCAGCGGCGGTTAACCGCGTTTGCGGTTCGGTTAAAACCGAAACCGCACCGCTAACGGCCCTACTTACAGTTGATATTTTTCATTCAAACCTCTTAGAAACTTGATAATATAATTTGTATCATGGTATTCAAGAACCGTATTCGTGGCTCTAAATCCCTGTGACTTGTTGGAGTACAATCACAATGAATCAATGGCTCATAGTTGTCTAATTCATCTTTCAGAGTGATAACCCTACCATACCATTTTGTAATGATTTTGTTTACCTTGTATCAGATTGGAAAGTGCTTCCCCTAGCTCTACAACTCTTACAATATCACCAGCTCCATAGCTTGCTTGCAAGCTTCTCCATGCTTCAGCTGCTATTTTGCTGGACAAAATAGTCTTTCTTATCTCTGAATCTACTGCTTGCTGGATCCAGCTTAAAATCATAATATTATTCTTGATCAAAGCTCCTCTTATTGGATCTGCTTCACCAGATTCAAGAATAGAACCATCAAGAAAACCCAATTTGTTTTTTTTTTATGTTATTGCATTGTGCATTCCCCTGCTCCAATCATTATAGTTGCTGATGTTGAGCTTCTATGCAACCAGAAGTAGTCACGGTTGTTTAGACCCATGTATATTAAAAAGATCTTCCATTTGATAAGTATTCATCGTTTTTTTTTTTTTGTTATTGTTTATCAGTATTGACTTGATCACTTTGGTCTGGCATGGCGGCGATTTAAGAGCTACCCAAAGAGAATTTCCCTTACATTTTAAGAACCAAACTCTGATACCATAAAAAGTGTTTGATAGCAAATGAAACCCTAAGGTCTGAACGCTTTCTCATTCATCTCTTACAATATAGTTTGCTCAAGCCACTACACGACAACCATGCCCTATTCCTTGTGGTTCTCTATTGTTGAACTTGAAAAAGGAAATAAGTACAAACTTGGCAAAAACTGAAAAAGAAAATGAAAAGTAACACGACAATGCTTTGATGATCTAAAACGCAACATTTTAACTAATAAGAAATGGGTAAATAACAAAGTTGGTCACTGAAATTAGTAAAAAAAATTCATGTTTGGTCACTATAAATATTTGGTCACTATAAATATTTAATTCTATTCGTGGTCACTAAGAACATGTCATGTTTGGTCATTCTCCGTCCAACTCTGTTAACTTTGTCTGATGTGGCAGTCAACTCTTAGAGTTGACGGTTAAATGTCTGACATGGCAATTAAAAATTTATAAATATTTCACTTCATTATCACTACTATTAAAAAAAATAAAAAAATATTCATTTTGAATTCCTAAATCTAATGAACTAATCTCACCCCTCTTTCTCACCATCGACTTAAATTAGTGAGGGAACAAGAGACGAGGTGGAGCTCTCCTAACCGGCCGACGAATATGACGGATCCGGCGCAAAACCTCTTCTTGCTACTCTTAAGCGACTACAAACCCCCTTTTTAGAGAACCGGAGACTTGCGACTCTAGCGCAATGGGTAGCAACCGCCCTCTGGAAGGAGAAAATGGTTTTGGAGAAACGGGGAGAAGCGAAAAAGGCAGAAGAGGGGTCTAAGCTTCGATTTCGCGATGGAGAGGTTTCGAGCGATTACCATATCCAAATGGATCCGAAAGCAACAACGAATTCACGGAATCTGGAAGCTTCTGGAGGTGAGGAAGAGAAGAGTTGGTTAGCAGCGGAGACGGGTCGTCGGAGGGAATTAGGGGTTTTGAGAGGTTTAACTCGCAGATATGGTTCTCTGAAAAGGGGCTTTCCTTGTAGTCCTCTTCTAGCAATTGGGACACCAAACAATTCGGCCAAACAATTGGAAGTAGGCCATGCAAGAAGAGGTTTTGCGCCGAATCCGTCATGTTCGCTGGCCCGTTAAGAGAGCTCCACCTCGCCTCTTCTTCCCTCACCAATTTCAGTCGACGATGAGAAAGAAGGGTGAGAATAGTTCATCAGGTTTAGGGATTTAAAATAAATAATTTTATTTTTAATAGTAGTGATAATGAGGTGGCATATTAAAATTATTTTTATTAATTTTTAATTGTCACGTTATACATTTTTAACGGTCAACTCTGAGAGTTAATTGCCACATCAGACAAAGTTAACGGAGTTGGATGGAGAGTGACTAAATATGACACGTTTTAGTTTTTACTAAACTTAGTGACCACGAATAAAATTAAATATTTTTAGTGACAAAAGTGAACATTTTAGTAAATAGGAAAGGTGGAAAGTGGAAGTCTTTCTTCTTCTAGAATGACGGCTTCGCCATCAACGGTCGATTGTTTTTCTAATTTCATTTCTAGCATGCCTGTTAGTCTCAACGAGCTGCTTACTAGTCGCAGGTGGCCTACGGAAAGACAGTTTGGCAATTTGTATAGCAAGCGAATTACGATATCATACGCAATGGTTCAAAAACTACTGATACAATATATTGTGGTACTGAAACTCCGTTGATGTAATCAACGGAACTTCACTTCCCTTGTAATATATTGGTAGCGTCAGATGATAAGCCAGCCAGAGAGAGAGAGGCAGAACTTCACCTTGAAGCACAAAAAAGATCCAAAACGAGTGAGGCCAGCCATAGGCAAAATCTACAGAGCACAAAATTAAACAGATGTTCCGTTGGTGGTCGGCTCATCAGAAATTTGGTGACAAAAAAAAGTAGGAAGAGCTTGAAAAGGGAAAAAATCCAAAAGTACCACTGTTTAAAAAAAAATTTCCAAAAATACCACCCAACCCCAAAAAATTCCAAAAATACCACCCTTTTTCAAAAACCGCCACCCCACCCAGCGGTTTGGTCGAAAACCGCTTGTCGGGGGCGCGGTTTTGGACCAAACCGCGGGCCTAGGGGGCGGTTATAAAAAAAAAAAAATTTGGACCAAAACCGCTGGGTGGGGTGGCGGTTTGGCCCAAAACCGCCACCCCAACCAGCGGTTTGGTCCAAAAGTTCGGTCGAAACTTCAAACGAACGTAACTTTGCACTCGGGTATCCGATCGTAGTGATTTTTTTTTTCATTTCGCATAACTTTTCAAGATCTACAACTTTTACTAGGATGAAATTTTCAAAACAGGAACTATTTGTGGATATACGGGACCTTGAGAATAACTTTACCTTTACTTTTCAGAAATCCATGTACATTTTGAAATTATGATTATATTAAAAGTTGTAGATCTTGAAAAGTTATGCGGAATCAAAAAAAAGTTCATAACATTCGGAGTTTGGAGCACAAAGTTATGGCCGCCCAAAGTTTGACGAAAGGCGAGACCCGGCGGTTTGCGGCTTGCAAGATCTCAAAAAGTTTGCAGCCTCCATTTTTTGAATCCGAATAACTTTTTGAGATCTTTCAAGTCTCAAACAGTCGGGTTCCGTCTTCGTCTCGAAAAAACGTCATTTGCCACCCCGAACGACCTTTTTTTATTTCGTCAAACTTTGGGCGGCCATAACTTTGTGCTCCAAAATCCGAATGTCATGAATTTTTTTTTTATTCCGCATAACTTTTCAAGATCTACAACTTTTAATATAATCATAATTTCAAAATGTACATGGATTTCTGAAAAGTAAAGGTAAAGTTATTCTCAAGGTCCCGTATATCCACAAATAGTTCCTGTTTTGAAAATTTCATCCTAGTAAAAGTTGTAGATCTTGAAAAGTTATGCGAAATGAAAAAAAAAATCGCTACGATCGGATACCCGAGTGCAAAGTTACGTTCATTTGAAGTTTCGACCGAACTTTTGGACCAAACCGCTGGTTGGGGTGGCGGTTTTGGGCCAAACCGCCACCCCACCCAGCGGTTTTGGTCCAAATTTTTTTTTTTTTTATAACCGCCCCCTAGGCCCGCGGTTTGGTCCAAAACCGCGCCCCCGACAAGCGGTTTTCGACCAAACCGCTGGGTGGGGTGGCGGTTTTTAAAAAAGGGTGGTATTTTTGGAATTTTTTGGAATAGGATGGTATTTTTGGAATTTTTTTTTTAAACAGTGGTACTTTTGGATTTTTTCCCTTGAAAAGCCGGTAAATGAACAAGAATCGACACATGAATTCACAAGTGGGGTGACATGACAATTTCAAGCAGCCAATGTCTTGCAAGACAAGAATGCAAAATGCCCCAGCATCACAGATATAGGTTCACCCCTTCCTCGTCCAGGTGATTTCTTTCTTTGTACGGATCCCCAGATATATCTTCAGCCTTTTGCAGGGACTTGAATCGAAATAACGTGCTGATAAAACGCAGCTTTCAGATAAGCCGGAGTTCATACTCACCGGCCATTGTTATGTATCTCACCCATGGAAGAGCCTGGTAACCACTTTTCTCGATGACCTTCAGGTACCGAACCTGATTATTACGGTACAGGTGAATTAGATAAAGCAAATAGCCCCAGCTAAGGTGAATTTAGGAATCAGTGTACCTATCACAAACATGTCCGATAACACAACAGGATATAAGCTTGGGACTAACAGGATGGACCTATGATATTATGATGGCGAACCATTCCTCATCCCAAAAATGGGTTTGATTCTGCTCTTGACAGCCTAATTCATATCATTCCTAACAGCAGGATATAAAAATAATCAACAAGAAAGTGCAAGTGGTATCTTCTAAGGGAGTCGTACCTGGATTCCTGAAACAGTAAAATATGGTATCTCGAACTTCACGCGTATAGGAGCTTTTCTCTCCGGCGTTGCTTCTTCAGCAGTTATGCTGGGAAGATTGAATTCTGCCCGCAACATATACTCCTGAATGGCACAGCACGTTAGACTAGGGGTGGTAAACGGTAATCCGGTAAACGGTTTACCGTTTTACCGAACCGGTAACCGGCGGTAAACGGTAAACCGTTTACCGGCGGTATCGGTAGCCGAGCGGGAAGTTGGGGGAGTCGGTTTACCGAACACGGTATCGGTAAATACCGTTGGTAAATCGGTAATACCGATACCGAAATTCCCCCTCCCTACTCCACTAACATATAACATATACATCATTATTCACAAATATAAAATATTACATACATGAATGTAAGTAAGTATAAGCCTCAAAAATATTGTAAATAAGAGCCGAATCCCTTTCATGATGTTTTTCTTTCATTTTTCATAAAGACATTTTAGTCGATGAGTCAGTTAGAGTTTCAGAAAACATTATGATGTTGATCCTTTTAAATGGTTGAATTACTAAAATAATTTTGATTGTCTTATACTACCAATTAATTTGAATGTTTTAAGTATTTGAACAAATCAAAATTTCTCATACTACCAAAGAAACGCATATCTCGCATACAATAGCTATTGTTGTTTACGTGATTGGAAAATGAACCCGGCCAACTGGCCGGGCCCCTGACTAGTTATTAATTACAAAAATGATGAAAAAAACTCAAAAAATCAAAATATTACAACATCACCCCACTTCCAGAAATTCGGTTCGGTAAATATTCGGTAAACCGACCGAAAAACTCCCGAAATCGCTTCTCACGGTATTTCGGTAATACCGGTTTGTAACCGTTTACCGGTAATTCGGTAATCGGTAAACCGGTCACAAATCGGTATCGGTAATCGGTAACCAATATGACCAACTTCGGTATACCGAAACCGGTAAATTCGGTAAACAATTTACCGTTTACCGACCGAATCCCACCCCTACGTTAGACAGCCCCCAGACAGAACACTGATGCCTAATATAAACGATATGATGCGGAGCCCTTTCGCGCGACTGAGAGTATTTAATTGGCATGTATGCAGCACTGAACATACCTTTCCACCAGGAAAAGATTTGATTTTCCACATTAGCGCATCATGTTCAGGAGCATATGATGCTGATCCCATTGACGTTCTGATGTTAGGATTGGAAGCATCAGCTGGAACAGGCAACTCGATCTCCACATTTGTTGCTGTGCTGTAAGAAATCAAGAAACTCAGGAGATTCAAAAATAATTCCTTTTCATATACTACATGAAGTATTGAGATAGGAGAGTAATATATGCCTAACACAGTTCACGAAACACAGTAACAGCTGAAGCCAAACAAGTGAATACCTTCGCTCCTTGAACTGGCTTCTAGCCTTTACCATGATCTCAACCCGACTTCTGGAATGCCTTTCAACTTGAGCTTCCACCCAAATCAAAGGCTTGACCTGAAAGCAAAAATGACCTATTTAAAAGGCCGATTCATAAGAGGCCCCTAATAAATTAAATAACAATCCATAGGACGTACCTGTGTACTGAGTCGGTACGTCATCAGATCAAACGATCCATCTGGAGGTATGAAGGATATAGTCCTATCATTCTCAAATCGAGCCAAACGCACACACCTAGTGATAAGGGGCATTTAGTTCGAGTTATCAGTAAATAAAGTAATAGTTCAAACTTAAGTGTAAGTCGGGACAATTACAGGAAGATAACGAATTTCTACAGCTAAATGGATTTAAGTAGAATTCAGATCAGGTAACATACTGATGAAATTTGATGTCCTCCAAATCAATGGCCTTTCCTTTTGTTGTTCGACCTTGAGCCTCCAACAAGACTCTATCATTTAGGCCGAGCTTACACTCGGGCATACCACTGCATCAAGTGATGAACCATAGCACATTAGCCTTTGCAACCAACGTGAACAGAAGAACTGACATCAGAAATACACCAATCAGAAGATCTGCAGCTCCAGTGATGCTGGGACAACTAGACACCAACCAGACATACAAGATAAAGTCTCATATTCACAGAACCAGGTATTCAGGGGATAAGATGCAGGCCACCCCTTGAATCTATGTCATATTTGCATCCTTCAAAGCATCGCACTAATGTGCATTTAACAAAACCAAACATCAAAATACAAAAGAAGACTATACTGAACTATTCCAACTGTACTGTATGTGCCACAGTGACAATTAAAACAACAAATTTCACAGCATAGCCCTTTAGAGTTGCTTGAACTTGATAAAAACAACATTATTCCGTAGCAATTCTATGATATTCAAAAGCACACTGCTGCTTCATTCGACATCATCAGTCCAATACTTCACCAAACAAAGATAATGGAATGACTACAGATAGCAAATGAACCCCGCTAATATGATTAACAATAGCAGCAGAATCACAATGTGAAACAAACTAACACCGATAAATTCATACACCAGTGACCAACAAGCACTGAACGGACTCCCAACTACAACACGGCTATGATTTATGACAAGTTCAACAGGGCAGATAAATATCCTAATTTGACACACTCAATGGATTCCAACTCTGTGATTCCAAACCCATCAACTTATTCTATCACTACAACAGATTCAAGTGAAAAAACAAACCTCAAATAAGTTCTCATCTTCAATGCTCCAACTACATCTGATCTTATTACTTGCCCATTGCTATTAACAAGTATGTTAACACTCTCCACCACATCCAAGAAAACCTAAACAAACAAGGAAAAGTTAAAATTTCCAGTAACATTACTCAACAGCAAAGAGGAATGTGGAAAAAAGAAAGGGAAACACCTCATTTTTCTTGTATGCTATCCCCTCACTGCGCCAGGACACTGCATTTGTCACAGCCATCGGAGGCCTTTGTGTAGTTTCCATCCTGTAGGCATCCGTCTTGATGAACTCACTCAGAATTTTAGCCTCTGTATATTGAGGATATCCAAAGTCCATCATTTCATCTAACAATTCGTACTGCGAAGGAAACCAAGCACTGCCATTGTTATCTCGAATACAGCCAGAACGTCTAGACGTGTAACAGATCAGTCAATTGGAAATCAACATACCACTACGACAAAGTTATCTCTCAGCGACTCCTCTTCTAATTCTTCAAAATAATGCTTAAACACCTGCAATGAATTGATCCATAAAAACCCTCGTAGAATCCAAGAATTCGTGCATCACCAAATCAAAGACAATTGTACAAGTCCCCATTTGAATTGCAATGACTATCAAGTGGAGAGACTCACATCAACTACACGGTGTAGAAACGAGAGGAGGCTGGCGGCATTGCAGTTCTGCCGCGCAGCCGTCATAAGGTACACATTGCTGTGCTGTACAAACATGTAAGTGACTCCATTATCATACACAACGGGATCTTGCGACTGAGGATCTCCCTGAATTTGTCAAAATCACCGAATCAGGACACGAGATATGCACTCCAATCTAAAGAAATCAATCTTGATCACTTCCCTAGCAACGAAATGAAAAGAAGAGAGACACGTACCTCTTTCTCGATGAGCTTGGTGAAGAAGCGCTCAGCCTGGATGGCGGTGACATCTCCACGGTAGTCGCGCCACACCAGGACCCGGCCCTTTATGTCGAGGAGGAAAAGAGCCGAAACTGCCCCGGCCATTTGCGGAAGGGGGGAAAACTTACTGTTACTTCGATCCAATCCCTAATTACGCTAACAACAACCAGATCTAATCCTTTCCTAAAGCGAGGGAGAACGACGCGAGAAGGTCATGTAACTGTGATCCAATTGAAGGGAATTACGAGATGAGAGAGCAGCTGCTGCAGCTTGAATCATCAGAATCGCCGGGAAAACTTTCCCGGTCGCGATCTGCGACCACGAACCTTTCCGACGTATAGCGCGCTGGAGCTGTTCCTTTCTTCGGTTTCCGGCTCCTCACTAGTTTTTCTTCTTCTTGCGCAGCGGGGAGATAGATCTCATGTAGCTGTGCCTGTGTGTGTGCTCGCTAGTTGAAGCCTAATTTTCCTTTTTGTTTTTCCTCCGCAATGGAGGTTCGAGGAGAAAATGGTTATAAGTGGTGGAAGTTCTCATTTACTTTAGCAATAAATTTTTACTATTCGCTATTAAACGACATGCCGGCCTGCTCTCATTCCAAACGGCAGTAGGTTTGGTTCGGTCGAATAATCCGGACCTTGTTTTCTTTTCTGAAACAAGGTCGTCTCGGAAAGTAGTTACCCGGCGTGTGCGGGGTTTAGGTTTTGATTCTTCGGATTGTTTCTTTGTTGATGCCATTAATGGTGCTGGTGGTCTTGTTTTAGCTCGGTCGTCCGGTGTGGACGCTTCGGTGTTTTTCCATTCTAGTTTTTGTATTGGTTCGACGATTAATGATAATGGTTCCTCGTATGTGGTGCTTTGTGTTTACTTGAGCTGTAATATTGCGGCTCGTGCAACCCAATTGAATCAGATTCGTGAGATTTGTAATGGCCTTGTTCTCCCTTATGCGATCATTGGGGACATGAATGATACACTGAATTCCGGGGAGAAAGATGGTGGAAACCCTTGGAATGCTGCCCAATCCTTGGACCTTCGCGACTTGATTCAGGATATTGGGCTGCATGACCCTGGGTTTCAGGGAGACCCGTTCACCTGGACTAACAAAAGAATGGGTCTAGCGTGTATTCGGGAAAGACTGGACAGGGTCCTTTGTTCGCAAACCTGGATGGACACTTTTCCTGAAACATTAGTCAAGCACTTTACGGATCAAGGATCTGACCACCGGGCTTTGCTTCTGTCTGACAAACCTTATGTCAGGGCGTGTCGCCCCCTTTTCCGGTTTGATGCTCGTTGGGCTGAGAATCCGGAGGTTAAGGCGATGGTGTCCTATGTGTGGCAGGAACAAATACAAGGCACGCCGATGTTTCAATTATGGGAGAAATTAAAGAAGCTTCGGCACCTTTTATATGATTGGAGCCGAGCAGGGACCACTAATTTCTTGCGCAATATTCATACCTTGAGAATAGAAATTGATCGGATTAAGGCTGTTCATCCAATCGATTGGCAGGAGGTGGCGAGGTTAGAAATGGAGTTGAGCAGGCAGTGGGAGGCTGAAGAGGAATACTGGCAGCAGAAGTCCCGGGTACGATGGTTGCAAAGAGGGGACAAGAACTCTTCGTATTTCCACACGGTCACGAGAGCCCGTCGGAAACGAAATTTTGTTGCGGGGCTGTATAATGCGGATGGGGAATGGGTTACGGAAGAACGAGGGAAGGCTGATATAGCCAATGGTTTCTACCAAACCCTCTTCACTTCGGAAAGCCAGGTTCCAAATATGACTGAGAGGGTGGCGGACCTCCCGATTGCGCCTAGTGTTACCCAGGAGATGAATGCGAATCTCACGGAGGTAGTCCACCCTGAGGAGATCCGAAGAACTGTTTTCGGTATGGGCTCGAAACAGGCTTGCTAAGGTTTTGCCTAGTCTTATCTCGTCGGGGCAAAATGCGTTTATTCGAGATAGGCAGATAGTAGAGAATTTCCTCCTAGGGCATGAACTAATGCACTATCTGAAGATTAAAACCCGAGGGAAGAAGGGGTACATGGCTCTGAAGGTTGACATGGAAAAGGCCTATGACAGAGTGGAATGGTCCTTTCTACTTGCGGTTTTGGAGAAGATGAGGTTTAGTTCAACCTGGAGAGGATGGGTGCAAGAGTGTCTGCAATCGGCTTCTTTCTCGGTTCTCATGAATGGAGCTCCCTCTGGATTCTTTCGGTCTTCGAGGGGGCTCCGGCAAGGGGATCCTCTTTCTCCCCTTCTTTTTGTGCTCTGTACGGAGGGGTTCGCGGCCCTGCTCCGGAAGGCCATTTCGGAGAAGAGGTTAGAGGGGGTCAAAGTAGCGCCTCGGGCTCCCCGGATATCTCATTTATTCTTTGCTGATGATTCTTATTTATTCCTCCGTGGATCGTTACAGGAGTGTGAGAATCTGATTGAGATTTTGAATGAGTATGAGGAGCTAAGTGGGCAGAAAGTGAATTTGAGTAAGTCGGCGGTTTGCTTTAGTAAGAATATCTCTCTGCCAGATCAGGAATTCTTAGGGGCAATTCTTGGAGTGGGGGCTGTAGGAGTGCAGGATAGATATCTTGGCCTCCCCACTTTGATAGCGCGTTCCAAAATGGCGACTTTTCGCTATTTGGAGGAGAAGTTGTTAGAACAGTTGCAAGGGTGGAAGAGGAGGACTCTGTCCTGGGCGGCTAAGGAGACCTTGATTAAGTCGGTAGCCTTGGCGCTGCCTTTGCATGTGATGTCTTGCTTCCGACTTCCGTTATCTCTTTGTCGCCTGTTGGATAAGCATGTTGCTCGTTTTTGGTGGGGGGATGAGGAGGGGCAATCCAAGATTAGGTGGATGTCTTGGCGAAACCTTTGTCGTAGTAAACACGAAGGGGGGATGGGTTTTCGGAAGTTTGAGCTTTTCAATCAGGCTTTGTTGGCTAAGATTGGTTGGCGCATTTTGTCTGAGCCCCAGTCTCTGCTTGCCCAGGTTTATAAAGGGAAGTACTTTCCAAATGGCTCGTTCCTCTCAGCTACGGCTCGATCCCGCCCGTCTTGGGGCTGGCAGAGCATTCTGTTTGGGCGCCAATTACTTTCTAAGGGCTTACGGTGGCAGATTGGTAATGGCCAGACGGCCCCGCTGCTGGAGTCGAATTGGGTCCCCCTCTCGCCTAATTACCCCTTGGTGTTTAACCCTCGTGTTCTACCTGCAGAGGGTGAGGTTAGGGTTGCCGAGGTGCTTTGTGCAGGGGAAGGGCGATGGTGTGATGATAAACTGAGTCAATGGTTTGATCCCCAAATTTGTAAAGTGATTAAGGCTATCCCCCTTCCGAGACAGGATATTGATGACCGTTTGATCTGGCAAGGCACAGCTGATGGTGTCTTTTCGGTGAAGTCGGCATACCACCTTGCGGTAGGGTTGGATCAGCAGAATGGTCGATGGCGGTCTCAGGTTAGCTGGATGGATAGGGTGAGTTGGATCCGGCTTTGGAATTCAAGCATTCCCCCTAAGCTGCGGATTTTTGTATGGCAGATTTTTAATAGAATCCTCCCGACGACCGAAGCACTTGTTGAGCGGGATATTGAGATACATCCTCGGTGCCCGGTTTGTTGGGATGAGCGGGAAACAATGGAGCACCTGTTCCTGAGTTGTCCTGTGGCTAGGGCACTTTGGAATCAGGCTGGGTTGGAGTATCTCGGGGAGGGGTTGCCTCAGTATACGTTCCCGTTGTTTCTGAAGAAGCTGTTCTCGATCCTGCATCAGCCCACTCATTTCATGATGGTCACTGCTCTCCTTTGGAGGATCTGGAAGTCTCGTAACTGGGTGGTTTTTGAAGGAAAACAGTTTGGGATTCCGGCCTTAATGAGGCAGTATAATCAACAGGTTAATGAGTGGGTCCGGCTGCCTCCGGATCCTCGTTCCGTTCCAGGTATTAGCCAGCAGCAAACTGTGGTGCCGGGGGGGGAGGCGGTGGGGCCTGTGTGTCGGTGGGATGGGGCAGTTCGCAGGGGCTCGCATTCTGCGGGTGGGTTTGTAGTTTCGGATGAGATGGGGGGCGTCCTTGGGGCGATTGGGCTGCAGTTCCCTTGCATTGAGGATCCTGTGGTGGTGGAGCTTTTAACTCTCCGGGAGGCTATATGCTGGTGTCTGGAGCATGGCTTTTCGGCGATGCAGTTTGAAGGGGATGCCAAGGTGATCATTGATAAGGTCTGCATGGAAGATGTGAGGGACAGTCGTGTTGGGACTATTCTGGAGGAGATTGTGATGATGCTGAGGGCGAATGCATTGTTTAGTGTTCGATTTATAGGTCGGGATAGCAATAGGGTAGCTCATTTGGTAGCTAGGAAAGCCCTGTCTTTGTCCCCGACTATATGTCGGTATTTTGATTTCCTGGCCTGGCTTGGATCCAGGATGTAACTGCCTATTTCTCAATCAATATATGATTATCTTTTGTCAAAAAAAAAAAAAGACATGCCGGCCTGCTCTATTCGTCTCGGAGTCCCACTAGGGTGAACAAACACACCTGCAAACCGATCCATCCGTCCAATCCGACCCAAGCCACCCGTAATTATCGCTAAAATGAAGTTATTGGGTTGGGTGAGGGTTTTCTTTTCTACAACCCGCCTCTTTTGGGTTGGGTTTGGATTTTGGATTACACAACTCGTAGAACCCGACCCAACCCGTGTTCCAACTATTGGTATGAGTTCGTATCCAAAAAAATATTTATGTTGTATATAGCCACACTTATGAGAAAATTAAGATATTTCGGCATGTTTTTCTCTCATGGTCTCCCTAATCTAATTCATTCTTCAACTTAAAGTTTAGACATAAATTTAATATAGCTATAATTCGCGTAATCTTTTTTCTTGTGTACAATTTAGTATAACATATTATGCATGCGTTCCTTTATAACCTTTTTAGCCTATTTCAACAAATGTCGTGAAAAAAATAGACATATATTGAAGTAAATCACATTTTATTAAAATTCAAACAACATTTGTGAATTTTGATACCTTTCACCTCGGTTTATTCGTTTGAAATTTTAATTAGTTATAAAATATTTTTATGAAGTAGAATAATTACATATTTTGTGTTGGGTTGGGTTTTTACTTAAAAATATCGCCAACCCGACCCAACCCAATTAGAAACAAACCGTAGGGGTTTTTTTTGGTGGGTTTGGGTTTAATATTTACCAAAACCGTAGTGTACGGGTTGGGTGATTATAATGGCTAAAACCAGACCACCCGACCCATGTACACCCCTACCACCAGCCACCGAACCAAACTAATAGAAAAATAGGAATTTCGGTAACTTGAAGTAAGGTAACTTGAATATTTTTACTTGTTATAGCAGGTTTCACAGGTCGCATTACGTAAAATACAATAGGCATTACGTAATGGTTACGTATCATATTGTAATCTTACGTAATAGTTGTAAAAGATCATTGCGGAAGCCTTACGTAATAGAATGTGTATTTACGTAATGAGTATTAACCTCGTGTTACGTAAAATGCTAAGTCATTACGAAAGCC